ATTTTCGCTAGGAAAAATTATTCTATTAAAATATATCAACACAAATGTTTCGTTTTTTTCGTAATACTTGTTTGTGAAAATTGTTACGGGTGTTGGAGCGTCCCAGTTCAAAAGCATGCGCTTTAGAAACTATTACAAGTTTTCTTGTACTATCGGTTCCGTGTATCCCAGGGCCTATGAAGGTCGTGCGCGGCCACGAGGCACTGGGAACAAGGATGTGTTTGAGGCTGATGAAATTAGACAACGGACTGGGTGCGAGCGTTAGCGGGATATACAAAGTCGAATTTCCTGCCCATGAGATTCAGCGTGCTGCAGTATCTGAGTCCAGTGAGCTCTATATGCCTGGAGCAATAGATGCGGAAATTACATCTAATAGCTTGGAAGGTCGTAAACAGTTTTAATACCATTTCATTTTCCCCAGCTAATTCTTGGGTTTCACTACGGCATTACTATGCAGTGAATCTGAAAGGGTGTCAACCTCAAATATATTGATGCTAAAGCTGTACTGGAGCTAGCTAGTCAGAAAATGATACGAAATTCCCCGTATTTGCCACCAAACACAAGGCTAATACATAAAATTAAACGAACAATCGACTCACTCTGATAACAGGGTTTTTTATAACTCCCCTTGACTTCTGTGACGTCATATGAAACCCAAATATACTAGTTTTTTTCTAACGGACAATATCGCTAAAGAAGTTATCAGTTCATAATACCATAATCTTATTCTTCAAATCGATGTCAAAATACGAAAGTTCGGTACACTAACTCATTGCATGGCAGCCTCGTATTAACCGCGCAGACAAACACAATAGAAAAGGACGGGAACTGACGTCCAATAGCTCTTCAATTTCCGTTATCTTGGCTTTACTTTTTGGCCTCAAGTTCTCGCTCTAGATATTTTAGGGAGTTAACAATCCACGACGTGGTCAACTCGACGATGTCGAGTCGGCAATTTATGCTTGAAATAAGCCACAGGAATTTAGCTCTATATACTTGAATGTCTAAAGCATGTTTTAATAATCTTACAAATGTTAAATTGGCCTAAACTACTCCGATGTTTAGCTGACGTTGCCCAGCATTCTGTCAACGTTGTAAAACAGCTTCCATGTCGCAACGAGCTTTGATATCGTCCTAGCGTAAGACGTGAAAATTACTCGTTTGACGGTATCCCAAGAATGGGAACGCTGTTGACGAAACCTTTCAGACGGCAAATTATTCATCCCTTTTGTGTCGCATGACGTATTTCTTTGTTTCGCAAGCGCGTCGTCAAGCTGGCTGTCGGCGCTGCGTCGTGAATCGCAAACTCTCTATTATTATTATAGGAGCCCACTATTTGAGTTGAATACCTCACCCCATTGAAAGGACTGAAAGAACGAGTATCTCTGCCCATGGTTACGCGAATACCTCAGAATATATTTCATATCATTTTTGTGGGCTATCAGAAAATTGTACGTACACCCTACCCTATGTGACAGTGTACTTTTTAATTTAGGCGTTTTTAAAGTAATTCCGCAGTTTTGCATTGCGCATTTTTACTGCGCACATCTTATAAGTAACTTATAATTTCATCCATTATACGTACCCGGTTTAAAAAAATCGTTTTATGACAATTTTATGTTTACTTCAAAACATCTTTGGTTACTTTCGTGCAAAGAATTACGTTAAAATCAACGTTTCCAAAAAGGCATACAAATGTGTACCTAAGGTTCCTGTGTCTGTAGTATATTTATTTACTTGTATTTCACGTTTTAATGCCACAATTCCCTAAAAAGATCGGTGACCCCCGTTTTTTAACTGATAATTTATTTCTTTAATGCATTTTACATGTCATATCCGAAATTAAAAGAAAAATCATTTCTGGATCTTGAAAAAAAAAATCCTTTATCAATGCATGTTCTCAAACTGAAAGATATGTAAAGAAATGTGGAAAAGACATTTGTGGATCAGAATTATATTACGTTAGTAGTTTCATTTTGCGTATTTTTTTAAAAATAATTACAAGATAGGTTTAATTACTAAAGCAAAATCCACGCTAAATACGTCAATAAATATCGGGCTGTTGTGATTCTGTAGCTGTTACTCGTAATGAGCGTCAAGATAGCGCCATATTGGGATAAAGGTGGTATATTGTGATTGTCATATCTTCTGAACGAGTTCGGCGACTCCGACTTTTTTGTGTAATTTTACTTTAAATATATCATAAACTCCATGCCTGGGAAGTTTCAGCACATTCTCATTTCGGGAACAATTACTGCGGAATTACCTTAAATGAACTCCTTTTCACCACATCCCAGTGTCGTCGTTCAGCACTGAACGATTGCAAGAAATTTAATATCTTCGGTTCAGTGCATGCTATGAAGACAGAAATACCACCATTCGATTCAGAAATAAAAGATTCAACTAATTCCTCCCTATAGTTATAGTCATTATCAACATTGTAGCGATTTATGGGCCTTTGAAAGTCAAACACGATCATATTGTATCAAATTACGCAATTGTCTGAACAAAAATATAGACTAGCCATACATTTCGCCGAAAATAACTTCGGCCCCTTCGAACATATCGTCTTTGTAATAGTCTTGTTAGAATCCCCATTAAAAACACTACTTAGAGTGTTATTTGCAAGCCTGTATCTTGAAATCTGTATCTTTTATCAATATATTTCCATTTCTTGTCCGACTGTGAGCTAGAAGTGAGTTAATCCCAACCGGAAATACGAATGAAAACCGTCAAAACAATGCGAAGCTTGTATCGTATGACCCTGCAAAGGCCAGAAATGGATTCGCAAGGTCAAATTGCACCCACACGCGTGAGTTTGACGTCATCCCGGCTACAGGAGCTTCTTATTGGCCAATTATTGTGCAATGTATGCAAGTGCGAGTAAAACCCGCATGTTGAAAAATTCAAAATAAATATTTCTACTCGCCGTATTCAAACGAAATTTTGTACACGAAAGCGCTTGAATACAAAGAGTATTTTACACATATAGCCGTTCGGCAAATGACGAAATGTTCAAGAGATATTCAAGATCTTGTGTATATGAAATTTAGAATCTTTGGCCAAGCGGTGAGTAAATATATGATTGTTTCGGTTTGTGTAATGTTCAGACGGCACTTGACCCCCCGTTTGAAAGGTTATTTTGTGAGGATTACAATGGTGGTATTTATTTAAAAGGGGGGTAAATACTCGCCGAGATATTTATATTAGAAAAATTGTGTCATAATATGATGCGAAAGGGGGTGGTTGAAAAGGAGTTTTAAATGACAGTTATTGTCACAGCCAAATCTGACCTTTTGTGCTATTGTATGTTGTATAGTTGAAGCACATGCATATAATTACCTGTAGAAATGTACAAAGTTTAGTAAGTTGAGTTCAACTATATTGAACAAACGTGTAATTTTGTAACCCAACTTCTGTTAACTACAATAATTTACATGAAATTAAACAATTACCCAGTCCTGATTGACTAAAGCAGTTCAATTATTTTTAAAATTAACAAAATAAAAGCAGAGCCCATGCAGAAACAAGGAAGGACAGTCATTCAACAAATAGTGGCAGATAATAGCAATATAAAATACTCACTAGCGCACTGTATTTTCCTAATCCATGCTACTTACGTACATCACGATGAAGCGCCTTCGTTCGGAACGCCGAGATTTTATATTTATATTTCACAGGTATAGTCGAGTCTTTCTCAATTCGCAGCTAGTTTTCAGGCGTTGTTATCACTATCTACATTGGCACAGTCCGTTCGAGTTTAGATCATGTATACTGCATGTATATTTCAGCAATCACTGTTGAATAATTCGCTTTCTTACCTTAAACAATGTATATTTGGTGGTTTAGGTTATTTGAACTTCATTTCACACTCATCAGAAAAGTTGATTTAATTTGTAGACTACCGGCCCAATTGGAAGTAATTAACATACATGGCGTCCATATATATAATTTTAGTTTACGCATGTTATGACGTCAAATGTGAACTGCAAAGTGGAGATAAAGTTGACAGGCGTTTCAAAATAAGGAAAAGCGGTGAGTTATTTTATTTACATAGAGGTCGTTAAATGACATGGGCCCACTATAATAATCCTGCTCAAGAACAAACCCATAAAATGCAGAATTTCCTACAGATTGATTTATGGCCCATGACGGCCTAATGAATACTATGTAAGTTTTAAGGGCGCATTCTACATCATATATGGATTTCCTGAAATTAATTTAGCATCTTCCTGTTGAATATTTCCCATATAACTTCGTTTCAAAACATGCTGCCTCAAACGTAGCTGCCTAAACGTTCTTTGGTTTGTTATATAGCAATGTTTTAACTTGGTTTATAAAATATTTCAAACACTCATTAATAATTCATAAGCTTATTGGCAAATCATGTCAACCATAATATGTCACGTGGCACGTGCAATGGCTTTAAACCTGATAAAACACTCCTAATTAGTATTCTTTATATAAAGAATACTAATAAGGCAGTATCTATTGTAGTCGTGTCCTCATTAGTATTCTTTATATAAAGAATACTAATAAGGCAGTATATATCTATTGAATTTGTAGAAGACTTTTAATAAACTCGCAGGTCGTGTTTTATTAGGTCTAAAGACACTCGCGCTGCGCGCTCGTGTCTTTAAACCTAATAAAACACTCCTGCTCGTTTATTAAACAGTACATAAAAACTTTATTATGTTTAATTATTTCTGGCAACTGATTAAAAAAGGTTTGAGGAACAATCTTGAAAGGTTCCAGTTTCCAGTGGTGAATAACTTTTTTGGTGCTTTGACTTGATCGTAGTTGGCGGTTTATTACACGCCTTTCTACCCTTAGGTAGTCTGGGAACTATTTGGTCCCACATAGCATATTTTTCAGGAACGAAGCTTCCTGCAACGTTTTGAATCCGCCGAAGTTCCTTTGGCAAATACTGTGGGAGTGGGTAACATACTACGTCGTTATAGTCAAGTTTAGAAATCAAGAAATCAAGTTTGCTTCCTTACGTTACTAGTGGAACCAAGTTATTTAATTTCCGTAAAAGGGGTCTCGTCACGAAATCACGAAGATCATTTTTAGATTTCACGAGTCACGAAAAACAAAATTTCATATTCACGAATTTTAGAAACACAGAAGCGTAGCAAAGTCTGAAACCATTTAACGATTTTCTAGACAGCAGAAAGCGTTGTTAACACAAACACTTTTTACTGACTATGAACTTTTAAAAGGACTATGGAAATCATTGCGAGGCATTACGAAACATTACGAGCGTCTTACGATGGTTCACGACGTCTACGAAGAGGTACGAAGGTATAAGACAACAACGTTTACAATGAAACCTCGAGAAAGACAACCGCGGGAAACAAATGTTTCATTTTTTAAACCTTAATATTAAAATTGGGCCGAGTTTTAAACGTATACATTCACAAGTTAGGCCATTGATAAATTAAAGACCCTAGCTAGCCTTCTTAGCTCTTCACGATTCAGGGCACGCATATTAATCACGATTCACGGAATGGTATTTCTTTAAATCACGAAGCATGTATACGTATAATTGCTAATCACGTGTCACGAAAATATCCTTGCCCCCCGTCTTCCGTAGGGCGGACAAAACGGCATAACACGATGAAGATAAGTTTTTAATGTGATCCGACCATTTAAGACGTTCGTTTAACCATGTATTGAGAATTTTAAATGATGATGTTCTTTCGAGTAGTTCTCCATTGGCAGTGATTGCTGGAACAATGTCCCTATAAGAACGTACGATGTGGACATTTGCGGAATTGTAATCAACATCTGCTTGATCATCGATCCATTAAGCATGCATAAGATTCGATTGGGTAGCCAATTCCTAGCTCCAAGCTAGATGTTGTCTTTTATCTTCGAGTGGTGAAAACAATATTAATGTTTACGAACGAGCGCAGCGAGTGGGTAAAATATTGTTTTTAACACGACCAAAAAATTGTGAAATTTCACGCTGAAAAGCAAATTGGAAAAAAGCCACGTGATCGATATCTATGTTTATTAAACTACAATTGTCTCGAACATTTTTATGTGAATTATGTGAGGGTACTATTCCCCCCCCCCGGCTATTTACACCCGGGGAAACGAAAGCATTAGCGAAGTCTAAAGTTCATCAATGATCGTGGGCGCTCACCAACGGTGTTGAGTGGATGGTCATCACTGTTCTCAAAATATGGCTGTTTGCCAGGAGTGAAGAAGGCAAAAAATATAAAAAATACATGTAAAAAAGCTTGGAAAATCGTTTCACATAACAAATTGTACAACTTTTTTGCAATTTTTAAATGTAAACATTGATAAGAATTGTTGTTATATAGTTAGTGTCAAAGTTCAATTTTTTTGTTCGCCGATTGGTCAAAACCGTGTCAAGTGCCGGTTTACAAAACGTCATGTTCGGTAACCGGTCCGCAATGAAACATTTATTGACCGGTCAATAATAAAATGGGTGGAATACGCATGCGTGTCAACCATGAAGTTCCAAAGTTCATTTTTAAACTTTTTACTAAACATTTACGGCGTTCCATTTATCCAGTTTTGGTTTCAAATTAAGTTCACTCCAATAACCGGTGAATTATACATATTTTGACACTTATATCCTATATAACAAAACACTTATTCACTGAGACCTCGGGAAAGCAATGTGTTTTGTGGCCCCTCGACCGCCGTTGTTACTTGTTACCCTCGGCTTCGCCTCGGGCAACAACGGCGGTCTCGGGTCCACAAAACACACTGTTTCCCTCGGTCTCAGTAAATAAGTGATACATGTTGTATGATAAGTCCTAAAGTATAGGGCAAGTTTGTTTCAATTGTTTATGTATGACTTTGTATTTAATAATATAGACTTTGTTGTTGATGTTCAAGTCTTTCCTTCCTATGCATTGTTTGCGAAAGTTTCTTAGTTAAATTAACTTTTGTAGAAGTTCATGATAAAAAGGAAAGCAAATTTTTTTCATTAGCGCGTCCTGTACGAATTAAATTTGTTTCATTTCAAAGTGCGAGTAACAAGTTGAAGCTCGAGTTGAGAAGTTTATAAATATCGGCAAAAAGCAGTTAATTTCAATTCACATTTAAAAACGTTTTACGTAGAGTTTCGTTTTGAATTTTACATTAAAATAAAGCCCATAGAATTAACGAAAATATTATACGTACTTTATATATTTTAGAAATTGATAGTTCTGTATTTAAAAGTGTTCAAATTTCATCTATTTTTCCCGGTTTGTACAAAAATTTAAAAAATAATTATCGTGTTGCCATGACGGCTAACATGCACGCAACGCGAGCCTGCGTTCAGTGTTGGCGTAGTTACGAAAACTTCATGTTGAAACAATGTTTGGAAAATATAGGCGAGGGGTTGTTGCATGCATGTATTTCTAGTTAATAAGTAATAGCATGGTTTCTCGTTTGGATTAACATGCGCTCGTGAGTTTTTCAAAGACCTCAAAATTTTAATAGTATATTCGTCCGTCGCATTCGTGCTATTTTGAGGTCTTTGAAAAACTCACTCGGCCATGCTATATCCAAATTGCACTCAAAACCATGCTAGTATTACCTATACTTACATGCTGTACATGTACTCAACAAATCCCTGAGATATTTCTCACAAACGCGAGTAATATACAGGGGTGCAGCGTAAAAGCACATGGGATTGTAAATTTGAAGTTTGTTCATTGCTCAAATATCTCAAAATTGTGTAGACAAACGCAAACCAGTTTCAATGTCATGCACGTCCACTAAACTATATGTAATCGACAATCCCAAGAGGCAAGAGCATCCATTATCTAGTTGAAATTTCGACATTTACCACTCCATCTGCCTTCTAGAGTATTCCGTTTTCTAAAAGCACTAGAAATACATACATGCAACAACCCCTCGCTTATATTACATACATACATAAATTTATTGTGTTCCTCAAAGTGGCTTTTCAACACTAATTTACATGGAATAGTGATTAAAAACAAGGTTAAGATTACATATATAAAAATTTAATTACTAGGAAAAATCTTCTATTATTAAAATAGTCCATTACTAAGAATACAGTCTGTCTAACATGTCTTTCTTTAATTTATTCTTAAAACTTCTCAAAGATGGCATTTGTTTAGTGTTATTGTCCAGATCATTCCATAGTTTCGCCCCTCCATAATGAAATGTTCTCTGGCCAGTGGTGATATTATAAATCGGTATTTGGAGGAGCTCTTGGTTACGAGTTTTACATTCATGTATATTTGATCGTTTACTAAATTTATTGCACAAGTGAGGTGCGGCTAGATTGTTAATACACTTGTACATCAAAACTGTATCTCTAAAAAGTAAGTGTTCCTTAACTGGAGGCCAATTCAGTTCTTGCAGTTTTGGTGAGATATGATCGAACTTCTTCCTGTTTGTCATGATCCTACACGCGAAGTTTTGTACCAGTTGTAGTTTGTTAATATTTTTGGGCGAAGTGTTCGACCAAGCAGAGGAGCAATAAAGAAGTTTATTCATTACCAATGCTGATACCAAGAGGAACATAGTTTCTTTATCAAAACATTTGCTTACTCGGTTGATTTGTGACAATTTGGACATGCAAGAGGAGACTAATTCGGTGGTATGGCAATCGTATGACATGTTGGTGTCCCTTATTAATCCTAAATCCTTGGCTGAATGAACTAGCTGGCCTGATAGTTTCGCCTAGAAAGTTTAGACACATGTCTGTAGGGAGATTTTGTAACTGTTGTCGCGTTCCGATAAGTAAATACTTGGTTTTCCCCGCGTTAATAAGTAGATGAAGTTCAGAGCAGCACGTTGCTATACTCGGCTGAGATCTTCCTGTAGGTGCTCTTTTGTGTCAGTCGCGTCTTTAACACGAAATGACAAGAACATTTTGAATCATCGACATATTAATTAAGGGCGCTGTGATGTGGGGCCAGTGGTAACTCGTTTACATAGATGCTAAACAAGAGTGGAGATAAAATAGCACCCTGTGTGTTATAACCACCCAGTTCTGTCTCTCAGTACACCATGGCCCGAACCTCCAAAGGATCCTGGGATACTACACTCCTCCCTTTCCAGTGTCCAATAATCTGAACTACTCTGTATCTAACAAAAATAGAATGTCAACTTTAACTAAATGTCATATTAAATAATGGTTTATAACAAGTTCAACTTATGTGTTTGCTAGTTCATAGTCCTGCAAATGTTGAGGAAGACGACGGTCTCTATGGGGTTGTCTTCTTTGTTCTGCTCTCGCTTCAAGTTCGGGTTCTTCCCGTGGTTCTGCAGGATTCACCTCCCTGGTTGGTAGTTGAATGTCTTCCAATCCACTCGCTATAGTTGTTTGAGGAACATCAGTGCGAATGCGGAGATGATCTTGGTGACGCCGGATAATTAGACCATCATCAAGCTGTATTTCTGCCGACACTGGTCGTGTCTTCTTCACTACCGTCCCGGGCATCCAACTTTTAGGTTTCCTGAAATCTTTCGCATATACTAGGTTCCCGGTTTTGATAATCCGTTCTCTAGCATGATAGTCATGTACTGCCTTTTGCTGTGATTGTTTTTCCCTCACCCGATCTCCAGGGTTTGGCTGTATCAGATCCAACTGAGTACGCAGGTGTCTGCCCATCAACAGCTCCGCTGGCGGCACACCCGCGATAATTTTGTTCTCATACTTCCTTCCTTCATCTTCTCAATGCCCTCTTTAAAAATTCTCACTGCACGCTCTGCTTGCCCATTTGATGCTGGGTGGTATGGTGAAACTTTGATGTGTTTAATACCATTTCGCTTCATAAATTCTTCAAATTCATTGCTCGTGAAATTTGTTCCATTGTCACTGACAACTGTTGTCGGTAGCCCATGTGTGGCAAAAATCTCGCGTAGTTTCTCAATGGTTGCTGTAGACGTAGTGGATGTCATCTGGTGAACTTCTAGCCACTTAGAATATGCATCAACCACTACCAGAAACATTTCACCTCTGAATGGTCCTGCATAATCAATATGAAGCCGTGTCCAGGGATGTCCTGGCCACTCCCATGGATGGAGTGGTGCAGCAGCTGGAGTTGTATGATGCAATTGACACTGATTGAAATTCTTCACTTCCCTCTCAATATCTTCATCAAGAGTAGACCACCACACATAGCTTCTTGCGAGGGCTTTCATGCGGGAAACCCCTGGATGTGCTTCATGCAGCTCCGTTAAGATCTTTGATCGTCCTGGGGGTGGAATGATAACTCTCGTACCCCAGAGTAAACAGCCATCCTCCACACTTAACTCAAACTTTTTGCTGTGGTAAGATTTAAATGTTGTGGAATCATAGGACTCTGGCCAACCTTGCATTGTGAAACGAAGGATTTTTGACATAACTGGATCTCGTTTGGTCCACTCTCTTATCTGATTGTTGTTGACTGGTGTTTCCTCCAAATGTTCCATCAGGAGGATTGTTTCACCTGGCTGTGGCGTTGACAGTGGCATCTTTGGTAGGGGTAGTCTACTCAATGCATCTGCGTTCCCATTGTTTTTCCCGGCTTTATATTGTATCTTGTACTCGTATGCTGCTAGTGTGAGGGCCCATCGTTGAATTCGTGGTGCTGCCTGAGTGGGGACTCCTTTTTTGTCGCTGAGTAACCCTTCTAATGGCTTATGGTCTGTTTTGATGGTAAATGACTGTCCGTAGAGAAATTTGTGAAACTTCTTAACGCCGAAAATCGTGGCCAATGCTTCCTTTTCGATTGTCGAATAATTTCTCTCAGCTGCGTTTAAAGACCTTGAGGCATACGCTATCGGTTTTTCTGTCCCATCAGGAAATACATGTGACAAAACGGCCCCAACTCCGTAATTCGATGCATCTGTCGCTAAGATTAACGGCTTGGTCGGATCAAAATGAATGAGTAAGTCAGCTGATTGTAGGAGCTCTTTTGCATAGTCAAATGCCGCCTTTTGCTCTTCTCCCCACTCCCACTTGGTTCCCTGTCGTAGTAGTCTGTGTAGTGGCTCTAGGATCGTTGCCACATTTGGTAAGAATCTGTGATAGTAGTTTAGCATTCCAAGAAATGATCGTAATTGGTTAATGTTCTCTGGCTCTGGTGCTTTAGCGATGGCTTCGACTTTTTCAACCACCGGATGGATTCCGTTCTTGTTTATCCCATAGCCACAATATGTCACGTCTGATGCCATGAAACAACATTTGATCTTCTTCAATCTTAGGCCCGCTCCAGACAGTCGCGTCAACACTGCATTCAAATTGGATAGGTGATCTGCATCGTCTTTACCGCCTACAAGAATATCATCAACTCGCACAATGACACTTGGAATACCTTGAAGTAAGTTCTCTAGTGTCCGCTGGAATATACCTGGAGCCGAGGATATGCCAAAAGGTAAGCGATTATATTGGTAAAGTCCCTTATGAGTGTTAATTGTGGTGTACTTCTTGGACTCCTCGTCTAGCCGCAACTGTTGGTAGGCTTGTGACATATCCAACTTAGTGAATTTTTGGCTTCCACTGAGGGTTGTAAGCAGATCTTCCGTCTTCGGTATTGGGTAGTTGTCTAGTTTCGAAGCTTGGTTAATTGTTGCTTTGTAATCACCACATACGCGGACCGATCCATCTGGTTTGGCTACTGTCACTATTGGCGAAGCCCAATCTGAAAATTCAACTGGAGATATGATTCCCTCTCGCTGTAGTCTCTCTAATTCTTGTTCCAGTGGAATTTTCATGGCAAAAGGAACTGGCCGAGCCTTCACAAATTTGGGTTGTGCATCTTGATTTGCATAGATTTTTGCTGTTGTTCCTTCCAAAGTACCTAATTCTTCGGTAAAAACCTCTTTGTGGGTTTCAAGAACTTCCTTCAATTCACTGCAAGGACGACATTCATTTATTTGGAATATTAAGGCCCAGTTCATTTTGATTACACGCAACCAATCTCGGCCAAACAGGTTTGGACCTTGACCTTTGACCACAAGTGCGAGTAGGTTATGCTGTTGGTTTTCATACCGTACTGGAACCATTACTTCGCCCGCTACTGGAATTCTCTCTCCGGTGTAGGTGCTAAGAACAACTGTTGTCTTGCGAAGTGGTGTCAAATTCTTACATAGTTTGTTGTATGTTTCTTCACTTATGATTGTCTTAGTAGCTCCAGTGTCTAATTCCATTCTGATTGGCTGGCCTCCCAGTTCTACATCAATTGAAATCGATTTGTCTTTTTTTTCTCTCGAATATTGTACAGCGAATATTCTTCCTCTTGGGCCCCCTGTGCATTAACCATTTTTACTTCCGTATCCTGTTCACGTTTCCCTCGACTTCCGGTTTCGCGTCGCTGTGGCAACTCTGCTTGCTTTGTTCCTCGCCTTGTGCTACGACAAACCTTTGCAATGTGGCCGATTTTATCGCAGTTAAAACATTTTAACTCGCGAAATTTACACGAATTTGCTGCGTGCTTCCCCCCACAACGATAACATTCGGAGCGACTTGATTGCTGGTTGTCCTCACGGTTGTTTACACGATGTATATTATTTGGGTCTTCGATAGAAACTCCTTTGGCGCCCAAATCTTCGACGTGTTTTGATGCCGATTCCATAGCTAACGAAAGTTCAACTGCTTTCTTGTATGTTAGTTCAGGTTCTGCTAAGAGTCGTCTTTGAATCTTTTCGTTGTTGATACCACATACTAATCGATCCCGTATCATATCATCCAAGGAAGTGCCAAATTTGCAATGCTCGGTCATTCGACGTAATTCAGCCACATACTTAGCAATTCCTTCGTCAACACGGCGAATTCTGCTATGGAATTTAAATCTCTCTACAATGACGCTTGGTGTTGGAATAAAATGCTTTTCCAGCTCTTTGAAAATTTCTTTTATCTCCGTATCCCCCGGTTTCTTTGGCTGTAGTAAATCTCGAATTAATGCGTATGTTTTCAAGTCACACACGCTGAGAAATATTGCCCGCTGCTTTTTGGCGTCTGTCACTTCATTTGCTAGGAAATATTGTTCCAGCCGTTCGGTGTATATGGTCCACGTTTCTTCTGCTTCATCAAACGGACTTACTTTTCCGTAGGTGGCCATTTATACGTGTGTTTCGCTTAAAAAAAATCCTCGTCGCCAATGTTATAACCACCCAGTTCTGTCTCTCAGTACACAATGGCCTGAACCCCCAAAGGATTCTGGGATACTACAGTTTCAGAATCGACAAAATATTGAAAAAATTGCCCCCAGAAAACGAATGAAGCACAAAATGTTGTAATTAACTTGAAGAGCAGGATTCGTTTATTATTTTGCTGTGCCAAACATATTCACGGACAATTTAAAACTTATTTAATACTAAATTCAAACAAATAGCAAAAACTATCCCGACTGTTGGGAAAAACCTTGCGGTGATATTCTTTTAAATCCATTTTCTTTTGTAACCAATAAATTTCTCAATTTTTACGATACTGTTTCTTTTGATATGTCATATTTTCATTGTGCTGTATGGTGTTTTGACCACTGTATTGTGTTTTCGAAAGTTGTAAAGCGAAAAGTGTTATGATTAAAATTTTATTTCCAACAATATAATTTTTACATTTCATTTTACCAAATTTCTCAGGCATTTCCTGAAAAAATTAATGCTAAACAGAAACTATTTTTTAAGTCTGATGAAAGAGTCATTCCGTTGTTAATATGTTTATATTCTAAGCAAATCGAGAAATCGAGAAAAGCAACTTATTTGGATATTGCTTTATCCATTAAAAATTTATAATACTAGAAGTTACTATCGCAAGGAAAGTGCTGCCTCACCCCCAAGGGATCAAAGACAGCATGCGAAATTTGCTGGATAAGGGGCTGTTTTATATATGATCCCGCTTTGCCATGACGAGATGTGAGCCGGGGTTATTTTGATGTATTGAAACAAGTCACAGTGCAAAATTCATTATTTTCTTGAGATAGATTAATTAGTTAACTACAAACGAAACATAATAACAATCTTCTGCAACTAAAAGATCTTCTCTACAGTATTTGAATTCTCTTAACCAGCATTTAACTTTTGTTTAGCCTACTGACTTATTTCAACACATCAATATAATGACATCCCACCTTCCATCCTGTAAACAGCCCCTAAGACACTTGTTCAGTATGTAGGAAAAGTGCAATTTGAATATCAAACACCTTGCAAATTCGAAATAAATTGCAAGCAAAATCCCCAATCTCAGCCAAAATATTACATAAATCCGCAATCCGCTGTATTAATAAGATTGGTGGAATCCGACAATCCGAAAACCTATTCACCCCCCCCCCTTATAACTTATTGCTGTTGTATGTACATTTATAATACTGTCAGTGGTGAAGCTAGTCATTGCAACAGATCATGCTATGCAAGTTTTTAATAATTTGCATTAGTCAAATAGATGCAGGTTTATTGGCGTGGCATGACCAGTTGCCATGGCAAGCTTGCCACTGAATATCAGACAAAATCATATTATATATAAATGATAATACTTGAATGAATCATTGGACATGTAGAATTTAATTATAACAGTTTCATATATTTAACAATTATTGGATGGGGCTGAGCAGGATATCCAGCAGGAATTCGGCAGATAACATTGACCAAGGTCTGAATAATTTTGGTATCCTGTGCAAGCCGAATTATTCATTTTGTGACAGAAAGAAAACAAAACAAGCAACAATTAAAAACAAATAAAATAATATTCATTGAATTGATTAACTTTTCGTAAATTCAACTGAAAATTTCCTGCCAATTTGTATTTTCACATAACATCCGCTGAAATATCTCGGGCGCCGTCCAATAACCTCTGCAGATTATTGTTTCCGCTGGAAATAGCACAGGCACCTACAAATACCCAAAAAATTTTGTAGGCTCTTAGCCAATGAAAAACCGAGAACACAGTGCAATGAATAATAAATAGAAATATTAAGTCAGTTTTTGTCCCAATTATCGTTTTAATGGCACCTTCAAGGCTACCCCTATTGCAAAACCACTGAAGAATCTGCTCAGACCTGATGGGGAGACAAAATCTATTAATTGTTGACAGTTTTATTTCATTCGTCAGCTTCTGCATGGCAGCGATACCATTCATTTGTAATGATTAAGATTGTACTCAGTCAGACTCAGAACTGCAAAACTATATAACACAAGAAATTGTAAGCGTTACCAAGAATATAGTATACCCTGAACTGTAGTGACACAGCCAGGTGAATATATAAAATGTAGGCCGGTAGGATTATTTCCTATATATTATGCTAACAATGGACATATCTCAGAGATATATTCTTACATGCAGATCATTATATCGTTTACAAAAGTCGCTTGACATGTTTGATTACATGTATTAACTGCTGGTATAAAGTTTCCACACTGGGTTGCTATAGCAATATCTTTGTACAAGTCAATGAGTTTACAATTTTTCATTCGTATACAATTGTGTGTTCCAATGCGGGCACGATACTGCTCAATTGATATTCCCATATAAATAACAATATCAATAATAAACTATCACTGTGATTATTATACCTTGAAGTACGATGTTCTATTAAGCTATGTTCAAGTTCAATCAGATTTTTTACAAACTGACCATCGACGAGCTGCACTTGTTTATATGAAGACTTGTATGCACCTAAAAATTTAATAATTTAAATACAGTTAATTCATTCGCTTCAAGTTTCAACGCGTATCGACCAGAACACATTTTAATTTGTGATCAAACTTTCATCTTACCTTGAAAAATAATTCGAAACTTGTCTGGCATATTAGATGACACAAACACTGCTCTGTTCGTCAATACATTGTTGATGTGAACACAAAAAATATGTAGATCCTTCCTGAACCACAAGGCAACGGTCATCGCGTGTACTTGTGTTTACAGAGAAAAGCTTTTCTTGCGTACTTTCATAAATCAGTACTGCTGCTGGCCGATTTAGACGCGACCTCTTCGCTTTCACTTCTCGCGTCCCACCGATGTCGCCACCACATTTTAATACTACAGTTCACGGACTTCCATCTAGTGGAATACTCTTCGCCGCAATTTGAGCACGAACCAGTCCCTCGTTTGGTCCATGACATTCTTGAAAATTTAAGTCGTCGAACCCGTCTATTATAATAACTGAGTTGGAATACTCATGGCTGCAATTTGAGCACGAACCAGTCCCTCGTTTGGTCCATGCATGACATTCTTGAAAAAGTCGTCGAACCCGTCTATTATAATAACTGAGCTATTTCACATTTTTACACTCAAAGCATGATATTTTTAGCAAGCACAACTGAAGAACAACAACAATTTATCAGAGGCAATTTATCACTCACTAAATAGTGCACGTGATACAGCGTTAGCCAATCACATAGCTATTTATACCCTTCTCGACCATCTCACTCAAAGCAACCAATCATAGAACTCGTTCCGAAAGCTGCGTATTATCTGTGGCACATCCCCATTCGCCACACAAATAAATATAAATAAACTAAAAGTACATCTTGACTCCTTGTATAAATATAAAGACAATCAATGGGCTTATTAGAACTGCAAGTTCATGAAATCATATACATATAACATATTGGTTTCAATACTTCTATATCGAACACTAAACAGCAAATCTAAATATAAATGCCTCCTTGGCTCATCGCCATACAAATAGATAAACTAAAAGTACATCTTGACTCCTTGTATATTAAAATATAAAGACAATCAGTGGGCTTATTAGAACTGCAATTTCATGAAATCATATTGGTTTCAATGCCTCTATATCGAACACTAAACAGCAAATCTAAATATCAATGCCTTCATGTATATCACTAGAATTCAGAAAGAAATAAAGCTATCCTTAATAGCGGTAATATTCAAAATATTGTCGATTGTTTGCATCGTGAAAATCCAACATACTGCATGTATTAATTAAATAACAAGGTATTAAACTGAAATCCTGAGAAGAATCATGCCAGCGCAATACAAAATAAATAAAATCGAATCAAATCGAATAAAAACAAAGAGTCGTCGAATATAAAGACGATCAGTGGGCTATTTAATAGAACTGCAAATTATGAAATCATGTTGGTTTCAAATATACCTCTATATCGAACAGTTAAAAACAGCAAATCTAAATATAAATGCGTTCATCTACCCTTACCTGAACTATTGAAAATATTGTCGATCCTTTGCATCGCTAAAATCAACATACTGCATGTAAATAAGCTCGTACTAAACTGTAATCCTGAGAATTAGAATCATGCGAGCGCATACAAATCAAAATCGAATAAAAACAAAGAGTCGTCGAATGCCCGAGTTGACGACAATTTCCGAAAAATCTTGACATCCGACGGACTTACATGGATTGAGTATGTTTCCCCAATATAACTCGGCCGGGGACTGGGCACGAAAAAGCAAGAAACGTCAAGAATAGGGAGCTGCCTCGCTACGCTTGGCAGCAAAAACGATTATTCGCCTCAGCCTCGGGCTTAGTGATTACGTATACGGTGACTTCGCCGGTAATCACTATATTCACCGGTAATCACTTCGCCGTCGGGCCAATAATTGTTAAATAACAACGGATATGTCCCGGCAACAGCTTATGTATTTTTTATTCATTGATGTGTGATTTACTTTGATACCAATCTGAAATTCAAATTTTGAAAAACAACCCTTGGAAAAAGGCCTGGAAATTTTAGACGGAAGATCGAGAGGCCACTAATAACCAGTTTCCCCCACTATAATAGGCAATATTTCTTTATTCCTAGCAATCACCACAGTGTACAGTGTACCTCTCACTGGCTTACCGATCTGATTGGTTAATCGAATATATCAAGCGCAGATGATTGTTAATTGTCTCTTAATGGTAGTGCATGGTAACGGTAATTGAAATCAAACTCTCTATTGGGCTTCATTTACCTACAGTAAACGTATCAGATTTACACTATATAGAATAATATAATTAAAAACAAATACTCAACAATTTTTGAGCGAAGATATTTAGGAGCGAGAACAGTCATTGATTTGAAGACCATTGTAGCTTTGGGTTTTCCGTTGTGCTTAGACCGGGGGTCCAGAGTGAATATTTGAAGCTGGATTCCTTTAAAATCAAGCAACGAGAATTCTGGAAATTAGATGTCTTCCAACGGATTGTAAAATTTGGTTTAAATGATTTGAACACAAGAAATCATTATCCGCCCTCCATTGCGAACCCGCCTTCAAGAGGTTAATTTGAACTAAAAGCAGAAATACATGGATTACAAATTGCACGTTTTCGTAACATTTTAAAAAAGGTTTACTTTGCGAATATGCGTCATTATAGATCAGGGGTTAAGTTTTCCAATGTTTTCCACCTCTTGAGCCTCAGTGCAGTATAGCTAACTCCCAACAAAGAAATTGATAAAGCCTCATGAGAGATTCGAACTCAAGACCTTTAGCTTACGAGACTAGTGCTCTATCCCTGAACTAATGAGGCATAACTTTCTGCAATCTTACTTTTATTGCTATATAAAGATATATTAACGCGTGATTGGTTGCAGTCCTCCTATAAATCTCTTCTACTCTTCTCTATCCCGGATCAATGTTGACTTTTATTCAACAAATTCAGATCACATGGGTAGCCAATTCAACGGAGAACTATTAATCAACAATGCCCTTAGTAGCCACAAAATCATTACTGCATGTTCTATGTAGAAAACGTAGAAAATCCACCAAAAATACCAACGAATTTAAGCGATTATTGTCCGCTTGAAATACTTCAAGTTTAAAAGAAACCTAAAACGTGTTGTTGCATGAAGTTTAAATTTCAGCTGATTTATTCGAAACATAAATATAAAGGCTGAAAATGAAATGAGAACCATAATGCCTCAAAATAATAACCAAAGATCTATATGGAGTATACAGTAATGTATACTGGTAAGCCAATTACAATACAGGTACTGTATGAGCTAAAGAACCTCAAAGCGATTTCGTACTTTTCAACGATCATACTTCATGTTGGTTTATAGTTATTTTCCCTTTTTTCAAAATAACCCTCTTCGTAGTTCAAGATAATTTGGCTAACAAAATACAAACGCTAAGAAAGTCAGTGGTGGGCAGATGCCTCATTAGCTCAGTGGTTAGAGCACTGGTCTTGTAAACCAGGGGTCCGGAGTTCAATTCTCTGATGGGGCTCTTAGTTGTGCGCAGCTTTTGAGAACAAATTTAAACCTGCATCGTTCCGGTGACAAATTTATTGTCCGTGAAAAGATAGTCGTTGAATATTTGAAGCTGGATGTTTTTAAAATCAAGTAATGAGAATTTTGGAATTTAGATGTCCTGCAACGGATTGTAAAATTTGGTTTAACTAATTTGAACACAATTACGAACACATCTCTAAAGAGGTTTGAACTAAAAGCAGAAATACATGCATAAGAAATTCCAAGTTTTCATGGCATTTTAAGAAAGAGTTACTGAACTAATATGCCTCGTTAGCTCAGGGCTAACAAAATACAAACGCTAAGAAAATCAGTGGTGGGCAGAAGCCTCATTAGCTCAGTGGTTAGAGCACTGGCCTTGTAAACCAGGGGTCTGGAGTTTAAATATCTGATGGGGCTCTTAAATGTGCGTAGCTTTTGAGAACAAACTCAAATCTGTTTCGTTCCGGTGACAAATTTATTGTCCGTGAAAACTGAAAAGATAGTCGTTAAATATTTGAAGCTGGATGTTTTTCAAATCAAGCAATGAGAATTCTGGAATTTAGATGTCTTTAACTTATTTGAACACAAGAAATCATTATCGGCCCTCTATTACGAACCCTCCTCTAAAGAGGTTTGATAAGATGGATAGAAATTCGAAGTTTTCATAACATTTTAGGAAAAGTTTTACTGAACGTATAGCTTCATTAGCTCAGGGGTTAGAGCACTGGTCTTGTAAACCAGTTGTCCAGAGTTCAAATCTCAATCAAATTTAAGTTTTCCAACCTTTTTCGGAATTTAAGTTTTCCAACCTTTTTCCACTTCTTCAGCCTGCAGTATAGCTAACTCCCAACAAGTTTTCAAATTTTAATTCACTAACTGAAAACAAAGAAATTGATAGAGCCTCATGAGAGATTCGAACTCGCGACCTTTAGTTTACGAAACTAGTGCTCTATACCCCTGAGATAATGAGGAACAACTGTCTACAATCTTTCTTTCACTGTGAAAGATATATTAGTGCATCATTGATTGCAGTATTAATTAACTGTGCCAAAGCACGTGCAAGAAATTTAATTTGCTGTAAGTCCATTATTTCTGTACTCTCCCCAATATAATTTGTAATAAATTTCCTCCTATAAATCTCTTCTACTTTTCTCCATCCCGGATCAATGTTGACTTTTATTCAACAAATTCAGATTACAGGGGTAGCCAATTCAACGTGGAGCCATTAGTCAACAATTTCATTAGCCACAAAATCATTAGGGCATGCTCTATGTAGAAAACGTAGAAAATCCACCAAAAATACCAACGAATTTAAGCGATTATTTTCCACTTGGAGTACTTCAAGTTTTGTAGAAAACGTTAGTTCAGTTAAGATATTGAGAACTTTTTCCTTACCATATAAGGGTGTGTGTTTTTACGCCTCGTGTATCGTGTACAAATAAACAGGTCTATTGCATCTTTGCGTGTGATACTTATCGGTAAAAAAATGGAAAATCTTCAGTGTTTTGTACATCTGGCACCTCCGACGGGATCGTGAGTTATTAGAGTAATATTTGTGTAGTTTTACTGTGATTTCAACCGGTAAACGAGGAAATATAACATGGATAAAGCGATCGCTGAGCTAAGCGGTAAACTCAAAGCGTTGATTTTCGAATAAATAAAACGGACGAACTCATCGATAAAGCAGACAAAGAAGCATTGGAAAGACAACGAACATCGATAGCTACTATTTCTTCGACTGTAAATACGCTTAAAAAAACAATTGAGGAGAAAAAATTCGCCAAAGGGGAAAGCGAGGAACAAATACAAGAATGGGGCGCCGAAACAGAGACATTATTAGCGGAAGCTGATCGACAAACTTGGTGAATAACAGGAAAGCTGACAGAAATATCGTCTACACAACAAGAGGCGATTTACTTAATGGAGCAAAAGAAAAAAGCTGGAATTTGAAAAGCTTTTAACTGAGCAAAAACTAAAACAAGAACAAGAAGCGGCAGAAAGAATTCATGCAGAGAAATTAGCATACGAGAAAGAAATAATGAAACCTGATTTAGAATACCAACAACAATTATCCAAAACCAAGCAAGATGGTGTGACGGAATCCTCATTAAGTTGTACAGGTACTGTGAGAATGCCTAAGCTAGTTATTTCAAAATTTAATGGGACCCCACAGGATTGGGTGAGATTTTGGGGACAATTTGAAGCCCAAATCGACAAATCTGGGACACCTGCAGTGACAAAATTTTCGTATCTAAAGGAGCTAGTTGAAGTGAAAGTTAGAAAGCTTATTGATGGTCTCCCATTTACTGAGTGTTTGGATCAAGAGAGCCCAAAACCAGGGAATGAAGACAAGGCACAGCTGGATTTGGAATCAAATTCCGAGGAGGTTCTGGTGTGCAAAGGACGTATACAAGGAGAATACGCGATTTACACTTCTGACTCCACCTTGTACGCAGCGAAAGTTGAATTGTCGAATGCTCATGAATCCACCTTGCATGGTGGAATCAGTTTCACTATGGCTATAAGGTTCGAGAAAAAATTCTGGATACCTCGACTTCGAAGGTTCAGGGACATTGTTGCTGACGATGAACAATAACATTAAACATAGCTTATGTTACTACTATACATTGATAAATTGATGATGAACTTATATATCGATGGACGTTCAAATTTGTTCTAAGTTTTATAATTAGTGCATATATCTCTTTATGAGCTATATGGGGGAGTGTGTAGAAAACATTAGTCCAGTTAAGATATTGAGAACTTTTTCCTTACCATATAAGGGTGTGTGTTTTTCGCCTCGTGTATCGTGTACAAATAAACAGGTCTATTCCATCCTTGCGTGTGATATTTATCGGGAATAAATAGAAAATCTTCAGTGTTTTTTTCAAGTTTCAAAGAAATCAAAAACGTGCTGTTGAAGTTAAATTTCAGCTGGTTTATTCGAAATATAAATATAAAGCTCTGCGCTGGAAAGGCTGAAAATGAAGTGAGAACCATAGTAATGTATACTGGAAAGGCAATTACTATACAGATATAAGCTAATGAACCTCAAAGCCATTTCGTATTTTCCAACGATCATACTTCATGTTGGTTTATAGTTATTTGCCTTTTCACAATAACGCTCTTCGTAGTTCAAGATAATTTGGCTAACAAAATACAAACGCTAAGAAAATCAGTGGGGGAAAAGACGCCTCATTAGCTCAGTGGCTAGAGCACTGGTCTTGTAAACCAGGGGTCCGGAGTTCAATTCTCTGATGGGGCTCTTAATTGTGCCTAGCTTTCGAGAACAAATTGAAATCTGTATCGTTGCGGTGACAAAAGATGGTTTTTGGATATTTGAAGCTGGATGTTTTTCAAATCAAGTAATGAGAATTCTGGAATTTAGATGTCTTGCAACGGAATGTAAAATTTGGTTGCACTAATTTGAACACAAGAAATCATTATGCGCCCGCAATTACTGTACGAACCCACCTCTAAAGAGGTGTGAACTAAAAGCAGAAATACATGCATAAGAAATTCCAAGTTTCCATAACATTTTTATGAAAAGGTTTACTGAACGAATATGCCTCATTAGCTCAGGGGTTAGAGCACTGGTCTAGTAAACCAGGGGTCCAGAGTTCAAATCTCTGATCAGACTTAAATTGAAGGAAATATGATAAAGGATTTCGGAATTTAAGTTTCCAACGTTTTTGACCTCTTCAGCCTCAGTGCAGTATAGTTAACACCCAACAATTTTTCAAATTTTAATTCACTAATGTAAACAAAGAAATTGATAGAACCTCATTAGTCTAGAACCTGTATATGAGTTTGTATGCATTTGATTTAGGATAGAAACTACGCTACAAAGACGTCATAAAAAGGCAGCTCAAGAAAATTGAATGTGACGTAAACACATGGGAAAGAGATGCCGAAGATCCAGGCGGTGTGCGAACTGGAATCGCAAAGCATGCTGGTCGAAGGTTATGGCGTCGGGGCGTCGGGGCGTCGGGGCGCCTTCAAAAAGGTGAGTATTCAAGTCCATTTTATGTTTTATTTAAGACAATATTAAGTTCAGGTTTTACAGAATGTTTGAGATAAACCCTTATACGAAAGCGTAATGTGTTGATTTGGCGCAACTCTTGCGTTATACATGTGTTTTGAGACAAAGTGTAATTGCGTAAATTGCCCTGTTTTGGCGTTGATGTTAGTATCCCTTATTCATTTTACTTTTATGTGTAAAACAAAAATGGTATTACTTTGATATTTGGCTTAATCGCATGTTTAACTGCTTTTCTATAACTACTAAACGCTCTCCATAATTACGTGTGGTTTTTTCAATTTTAAAAATTGCTATATTTTATTGTTTAGTGATACACTGATACCACGACTTCCAAGAGACCTGCGGTTGTGGAAGGCAACACACCGGAAAAACCCGAGAAAAAGCGACCAACTGTTAAAGGGAGTTCGAGAAAAAGCCTTTTTACGGATGAGAAACTACCAACAAATAAGCATCAGTGGTCTGTGGAAGAAACTTCAGCGTTAATTCAATATATTTGTTTATTTTGGGAAGATGCTGACACAGACAGATGGCCTATGCAAAGAGATAAGTATAGTTCTGGGATGACTGTGCTGATGCAGTGAATAAGGCATGTAACTCTACTACGACAGGTATGTAAAATATCAAAATTTCAATTAATCTGAATACAGGTTATATAATACATATATATATATATATATATATATATAAATATATATATATATATATATATATATATATATATATATATATATATATATATATATATATATATATATATATATATATATATATAGTATAGCTCTTACCTCAAAAGGTTGCCACAACAGTCTGTTTCAGGTGACTCACTGAATATTCCTTTTGGATGAAATAGACAGTTGAGGCAACCTTTTGAGATAAGAGGTATACTATATGCTCTATGCATATGATATTGAGTGCTCTACTGGTTGCTGCAGTTGCACACCACCTAAAATGATGTTATAGACATCTAATATAACTTTGTGTAAATAAAATTGTAGTTAAATTAAATTTTTGCATGTAATGGTTGTCATTAGTATTATGTGGGAAACACCTGGTCAACTGTTACCTTAAATTAACCCATTATGCAGGAATGCGCCCTACTTTAATCTTTTACTCTGTCTAACACCAGATTCTTTTACTCTGTCTAACGCCAGACAATTTTACTTGTCAAAGGGAGAGTCTCGCACTCTAATGGGTTAATGGTAACAATTTCCATTCCTATATTGGAACACAATATAGTCCAGTCCTCATAGTCGGATTTGAAATATTACATCCCTATAGTCTTGTTTAATTTAACACCTTCAACTTGTATATCCCCCCCGCCTGTGCATGCAGTGGCCCCCCTGGCATGTGGCCAATGCAGTGTGATGTGAAACAATATGGGACGCAATGGAAACAGATGGACAACTTGGGTACAAAATCTGTTCCCAGCACATCACTCAAATATTCAGACCCCTCAAAATATTGATAATTTCCTCAAAATGTTGACAACTTCCAGGTATTTGCTTTAAATTGCCCAATCATATTTTGTAATTAAATAACCAATAGGATGAACGCAGGAAGTTGACTGTAGTTTGAATTGGCAACCACTTGAGGAACTCGTCAAATGAATTCATAAAAGTTAGGAAATGAAGTGATAATCATTTTTCAGAACGCTTCTATTGCCGCGACTGTAATATTACATACTGAAAGTAGAAAATAAAAATGGTTCTTACCATTTGGCTCTGCCATGGATGTGATAAGTTCATCCTCCTGACCAAATGTACCAGCTCCACCTCCCTATAAATTACAAACAATTATTGTGAACAAATAAATATATATTATTGAGTAGTTAACAGTTATTGAACGAGGTCGAGCATGATATGTAGAGTTATAATGTGCCAGAATTTTGTGTTAAGAGGTTTGCCATTGATATATTATTTTTCATATCAATGTTACTCTGTTGAATACTACAAACCAAAACTCCACATTTCATCAGTTATTGACTTGAGATGACAATTTTACATTTGGCTATTAGCCAATCATAAATCACAAAATCAATTAGGGGCCATTCACAAAGGATGTCCAAGCTGAGCAGGGAGGTTTGGAAAATCAGGACAAACTTAAGATGTGTACAGACCTTTATGTGATGAGGAAAGTTGTTAACACGTTGTCCATTATTTGGATCTATATTACCAACAGCAAGGTCATTTGCATATGCATCATTTAATTTACTTTAATGTTAAGGAAATGAGAATTAAACATGAAAATAAGATAAAAAAACTCTCCCTTAATATGACGAAATTTTCCTTTACTCATGTATTTGATTTGTTTGAAAGAATCGTCAGAACAAGAAACAAATAAAGACCAGCACTCTCCCTTTGAAAAGTAAAATCATCTGGCGTTGGAGAGAGTAAAATAATAAAGTCCTGAGGGCATGTCCAGGGTGCATTAACAGAATGCACTAGCAGAATGTTTGGTTAACCCAACAAGTGGTAGCACTCCCCCCTTGACGAATAAAATCGTCTGGCATTAGACAGAAATAGTGATAGATGATCTATCATCATAGATGAATGACGATAGAGTTTGATTCAACTAATTTAGTAATCCTTGAGACAATGGGTTGTATGTTACATTGCTATTTTTAATAAGGATACCTTCCACAAAGAAGCTGAACATCCAGGAAGAGTGCAGTTTGATTATTCAGCAAAGGAACTGTAGTGCACGTTTGCATATCAAAGACTGTTTGATGTTTAATTACTTCCTCTACTTGGGCAGGCTTTTCCATATAGTCTTCAGATGCTCCTCTTTGGGACAGCAGCTTCATTAGGTCTTGATCTGAACTGACCAGCTGGAAGGCCCTTCGTATGCCTATACCTTTTATACTTTTCAGATAGTCGCACCCAGCCACAATACACATTTTCCGAAACTGTTCCATTTTTAATTTGCATCCATCTAAAATGTCAGGTAGCAACAGAAGATCCCCATCTCCGCTCATTGAAACTTTTATCATTACCTATATTAAAAGTTAATTGCATGATGTTATTTCTCTATTTACTATGTCAGAGAGAGGAAATGGAAATTTGTTTTCTCTATTCCTACTATACTGCTGTCAGGAATACATTTTACATTACCCCTGTAGGGTGGCATGCTCAAATTCCCAAATGAAACATTTTTTTACATTTTAGCTGTGCAATGTGCCTCAATGCACCCTAGTTTGTTATTTTTATTACTTTCTTTACACCAACCTATTTTACTGTGTCTAATGCTAGATGATTCTTGTAGGGCAGGCTGCAAGTAAAAAAATCATATTTTGCCAAGCAAATTTTCTAATAACCATCAGACAATTGAATATTGTTCTTGGGATACAGGTACTGTCCTCAAATATTTGAGTAAAAAAATCCTCGAAAGACTGCATATTGGAGTATATAATGGATATGGTGGGTTTTTAACCCATACATTCTAGGATTGTCAGCCAATAGCAAAACCTTGTGGAGCGAAGTCTACCAAACCATTTAAGACCAAATATGTTATATGGGCATCTGACCCGTACGGTGAAACAACATAGTCCACCTTTTCAGCTTTACGTATCTTAAAGAAAATGTTTTGAACACAGAATTGACGACAAAATACAATCATAACATTCAGGATTAAATTCTTCGGCCCGTGTATTGAGCATTTGAGCTACTTTACTAGAATTATTCAGGTACAAAATTACAATTTTGTATCTGAATAATTCTAGTAAAGTAACTCGATGACAAAGTTACAAGCTATATAAATACAATTAAGGTTAGCTGGTAATATAAAGGTACTTGCTTATACTTCTATACAAGTAATGATGTCTTTAAACGTCATTGACACAGCCTGGCTTCGAAGTTTATTTGCCTTCTCCACTGTGATAGCTTCGTTAGCTTGTCTCAGAAGACTTTCTCGATGTCTTTTTAATTAAATAGCAAATTAAAAGTTATCGTATTCGCACCTTTGTACTACGGCTTCCTTACCTTCTTCTGTTGTCATTTTCTTCAGCTTTTGCCGGCAGAGGCAATCCGTCAAACACCACAATCGGAATCACTCCGGCCTTCTTCACTTTTTGAAGATAGGTTTTAAAAATTTCGCTCGATCTACCAAAATGCAATGCAGAAATCAGAATGAATGTTAACAGATCGCTATAAACGTATCACATATAATTAAAAATCTCCATATATCGCTAAACAATTTTACAAACTGAACAAGCCTTACCTCTCTCGACTTCCACTGTGGTTTATCGACACACACATTGCCTTGTGAAGGCAGCAAGAAGCGTCTATAGCGGCAGTTTTCCCCGAAAACATTCGCAGGTTACATCGCTTTGTATAGTTTTTAAAAAACGGCAACAGACTGGGAATACCCATACATAAATAATTATAAGTACTAAGTACTCTTATATGAATATTTGATAAGCTATCTTGTTCGAGCTGTTTACTGCAACGTAGCCAGAATGCAAATGAACTGATTTTGATTTTCGGCCAGCATGCTTTGCGATTCAAGTTCCAACACCGCCTGCCAAAGATCGAGACGTCTGGAAAGGAATTGTTACGTAGACAGTGACCAGAATCGAAGAACGTCGGACGGAAGAATATAAACGACGACGACAATCACGACACGGAACTCTTGACAACCATTGACATCTCAGTCATCATCGAAAAACGATGGACGATTATATATATATATATATATATATATATATATATGAGCTAATGAACCTCAAAGCCATTTCGAATTTTCCAACGATCATACTTCATATTGGTTTATAGTTGTTTTCCCTTTTTTCACAATAACCCTGTTCGTAGTTCAAGATAATTTGGCTGACAAAATACAAGCGCTAAGAAAATGAGTGGTGGGCTGATGCCTCATTAGCTCAGTGGTTAGAGCACTGATCTTTTACCCAGGGGTCAGGAGTTCAATTACCTGAAGGGGCTCTTAATTGTGCGTAGCTTTTGAGAACAAACACAAATCTGTTTCGTTCCAAAAAATCATTATCCGCCCTCAATTACGAACCCATCTCTAAAGAGGTGTGAACTAAAAGCAGATATACATGCATAAGAAATTCCAAGTTTTCATAACATTTTAGGAAAAGGTTTACTGAACGAATATGCCTCATTATCTCAGGGGTTAGAGCACTGGTCTAGTAAACCAGGGGTCCACAGTTTAAATCTCTGATGAGGCTAGACCTTTCGTATTTTTAAAGCAAACATGATAAAGTATTTCGGAATTTAAGTTTTACAACATTTTCCACCTCTTCTGCCACACTGCAGTATAGCTAGACTTGCCACAAGTCGACCATGGGGGAGGGAGGGAGGGAGGGAGGGAGGGAGCGGGTGCGTGCCACCCGAGCGACGAAGTCGCGAATGGTCGACTTGTGTCGCTTGCAGGAATTTAAATCGCATTAAAAAATTTGGTATGAAAAATAATAATGTCGCTAAAGTTCAAAATGCAGTAATAATCAGTAATCGAGATCAAGAAACCCAAACTAAACCCGAAACTAGTGAGGAAATTCTAGAATCATCAGATGTATCTTTGGTGACCAACCTCGTTCCCAGGGCTTTTCCCTTTTTGTCATTGGGAAGGCGGGAAAAGGCCCTGCCACCGGCCGGTCACATGACTTTCAACACCCAGATATAGTGGGTGTAATAAATTATAATAATAATGATTAGAAAATCCAAGATGGCCGCCAACGTAAGAATGTCCACAAAATTTAAGTGCTTAGAGCGGCTTAAAAATGCGTTTAGTCTTTGAAATTTTTTCTTCTTTTTTCTACCGACGTACTCGAAATCAAATTCTTCAGCTTTTATTACATGGGAACTATGTAGTTGCTGTTCTTCCAACTGGGTTTGGTAAATATCGTTCGTTCGCTAAACAAAATTAACAGCCAAAATTATTATAGTATTACGACAGATGTTCTCCAGCTGGACAGGCTTGCTTAAGAGGACACGGAAAGTGTTTTGAACTGGGGATGTTAAACTTGGTTTTACCCTTCCAAAGACTCTGCTGTGCGACGATTGGAGAGAGTTTATGAGGAATATTTTATACAGTGATTCAAAGAAATGTTTTTGCATATACTGTATATGTTATTGATCTATTGTTGAATGTCACTTATATTATAAAGTGCCAATGGTTGGAATATTTATTCATTGATATTTTAAACACAGATGAAGTGTTATATGTTCTTTCCTTGTTTACGTTTTCCTTGCAGCCCAATGTTGTTGAAGCTGGCAAGCTGCAAAACTGACATATGAGTAATATGACCCAAATATTGGATATGCATCTTAGTTGCTTCCAGTAAAATGTAAGCAAGACCTTAAGAATTCTATATGAGATAAGAAATATTACGTTTAAAATCATGACTGGCAAATTA